GCACATAACATCTCCGCGCGCCGAATCCCTGCCACATCGCACATCGAGGTGCCCTTCTTCATTGACCATCCTGTTTACTGCATCGGTACAGTTCCTACATAAAATAACTAATAACTAGTATTAATTAGCTAAGATCTAAATACAAGTATATATAGTTTGAATTCCCTTACAAACTACCTATAATTAAACCTTACAACTACCCCTTATAGCCTAAGTGTTGTACCTCCGTACCCTTAGTGCTCCTTAACCTATGTACAGCATGCTGCCGCCTGAGCCTAGTAGTAGATTTCCGTACCTCCAGACTCCTTCTCTCTTGCACTCCTGTTTCAGGAGTAAACGTAGAATATATATATATATATATATACACACTTCCCTATCTTAAAACGTAGTCCTTAAAACTACCTCGACCTTTCGTAAATCATCTAGTCTCTAGTCTAATCTACCGATTGGTCGCTTCCCTGTTCCCACGAGAGAATGGGTGCTGTTCAGATTGATCGGTTTCAGAAACATCCCTGTTTCAGGAAAACAGATCTCCCCGACCTCCTATATACAAGACTTCACCATAATAATAGTAGTAGTAATAATAATAAGTAACTGGGAGTTTATTCATCCAGTTAATCTTACTTCTACTTGACCTACTTACTTACATATTTATAAACTAATAATAATAATAATCTAATATATATATATACATGTTATTCCTAGCCTACACTATCCCATCATGTCTTAAGGCTGCCCTAATCTGTGATAGCTTAGGCTACCATTAATAACTTCCCTAACGTGCTTAATGTCAGCTGCATTGCTGCATTGCTCGCTGTCATCGATCCCCTGTTCTTGCTCTTGTCGCCTTCTCTCCGCCTCCTCTTTCGCCAACATCACAGTTTCTCCCACGCCTCCCGGGGGCCTGTGTCTACCGTCGGGAATAGGGACTCCACCAAGGATTCCCTTGTTGCTTCGTCCAGGGACTCCATAATGTTAGCAGAGGTGTTTCTGAGCTTCTTCATCACTATCTTATACGGCAAGCCCCATGGGTCCTCCTCGATAGTGTTAATGAGCTCCTGCCATGCATTTGACTTAGCCTTGCTAACCTCATGCCTTAATTTCCGCTTCGCAGTCCTATATTCCCTCTCGAATTCCTCCATATCTTCCTGTAGAGATGATCTCCTTCTCCTGCTTCGCATCCACGCTCTCCTCTTTCGGGTACAGTCTCTCCTGCAGTCCGCGATGTTCTCCGACCACCAGTACACCTGCTTTCGACCGTTGAGGGGTTTCTTCCTGGTTGCGGCGTTGTCACAAGCCTCGGTAAGGGTGTTTCTGACCCACTCCTCAAAGTCTGTCGCCGAGGTCTCCTTGTTTATCTGTGAGTCCACTGTGCAGTGCCAGATCAGAGTAGCGCAGTACTTATCAAGATCTGCCTTTCGCCAGTTCCAGCCTAAACCTATTCTCCTGGGGTTAATCTGTATCCTTCGCTTTCCACCTATATTCATTGTTATGTATGAGTGGTCAGTGAGGTTCTCCAACTCGCTGTCGACCTTCCAGTTATCGACTTCCTGCAATAAATCCGGGGTGACCCATGTGAGGTCAATTATGGACGACCCTTGCATTCGGATACATGTAGGCTTTGAGCCGCTATTAACCAAACGCAGCTCGCATTCCGCAGCCCAGTCTTCAACCGCTATCCCTCTATCATTGGTTCTGGGTGATCCCCACAGGGTGGACTTCGAATTGAAGTCGCCAGCTACCAAAACTTTCTTGCCTATGAACCTGACTATGTCACCCAGCTCGTCTAAAAATTCCAGGAATTCTGGTCTCGAGGAGTTAGGTGAGATGTAACACGATACTACGCTGAATTCTTTGAACTTCACCGCTACGCAGTGTCGACTCCTCCTCAACAAGGCGCCAGATCCGGCAATCGCCTGAGGTCTCCAGAATATAGCCGCCAGTTTATTCAAGCTGCCAAACCAGTGGGGACTATCTATAATTCTAGCCGGTTCCGCCAAGATACATATACCAGCTTCCGTCTCTGCAGCAAATTGGGCCAGAAGATCCTGTGCTGGCCAGTTACGATTCAAGTTGCACTGGATAATTCTAACCATCAGCAATCTCCATATTTTCGTCCCTCCGCGACGATGCTACATTCGAGCCAGAGGACCTGGGTCCCGGCTCAGCTTTACATAATCCAGAGCCCACCCTGTGGAATGCATCCTTACCTTGAGATGCACAAAGAGCACAGTTAAAAGCCTCCGCGCACCACCTAGCCATGTGTCCCTCCTTACCACACCTGTAGCACAAGTTCGATCGATCTGTAAGCGAGGTGCATTTGCTCTTCAAATGCCCTTGTTCCCAGCACCGGAAACATTGCATAGGGCGAGCTTTAAGAAGCTCTATCTTGGCAATCGTCCATCCTATCTTGATCTTGCCAGTGGCAGAAACTTGGATCGCAGAGGCAAGCGGACACTGGGCCCACACCATGAAGAGCCCGTTATTCATGGGCCTAATTTGTCCTACCTTAATGTCAGAAGCTTTACAGTTGCCCTGTTTGACGAGCATTTCTTCTATTTCACCGGATGTGATGGAATCATCTAAACCTATAATGCGGATGTCTCCTCTGATCATTGGACGGGACACCTTTGCATGTGGGCCCAGTGCGTCCATTAACTTCTCCTGAAGGACATCTGCCTTCTTGTTACCCTCTGGACCTGGAATTTCTATGAGGACACTTCCATTAACGGTATGCCTTATCCTGGTTCCCTCGATTCCGAGTTCAGGGAGATCGATTTTCGCTCTCATCTGTCTTATTGCTTGGGCATACGAGAAATCCTCTTTGATACCTCTAATCGCTACTGCCGCCGTCTTTGGGGGCCTCCTCTGTTTGGGAGTCTTATTAGCTCCCCCTTTCTTGCTGCTCAGCTTCTGGCCTGGGTTTTGTTGAGATGCAGGCTGACCCCTCGTCGCACTATGTGATTGCTCTCTCTTCTTTTCTCTAGCTTGTGCCCTCTTGGATAGGACTTTAGTCCATTGGTTCTTCCCACCAGCACTTTCTTCAACAGTGGGCCATACGGCTCCGCCAGCGCCTGCTGGAGCCACCATTAGCGAGTCTCTCGGTGGCACAACCTGAACGTTGCTAACGATTTTTGGCACTGCTTTCTTTGGTTGTCTCTGGGGAAGGCCTTGTTCTCCTGCCTTTCTTTCCGCCCTGCTGGCACGTATTTCCCTGCGAATGGCGGCTAGCTTATTCATCTGAGCTGTTATAACTGCCTCCTGGTCTTCACCTTCCAAACTTGGCCCCGGGTTGGGGATCGGAACCGATATCCCTTTCAAGGGGGGTCGCATAACAACTTCCGTTGCGTCCTGTCTATCCAGGGCAGGTTTGGGTTTCTGGGTTTCTCTGACCGAGGGTGGTGCCATCATCATAGGAGAAGAGGCCTTGTCAGAGGTGAATATCCTTGGCGGAGTCGCCTTATCATTCAATCATTCATCCAGATCCTCCACTATCTTCTTTAGGTCCGCCAGATCTCTCCTGAGCTGGGCCGTCTCCCTCTTAGAGACCCTCAGCTCGGCAGTCAGCTCCGCGTTTCTTCTCCGCAAAAAGCCCGGGTCGCCGACGTCTTCTATTTTCTCTGCCATAACTCTTACTACCTGCTTTACCACATTAAGCCTCCTCTTAACATGGCTGCTCAGCCCTCCCTGCATCGACGTTCCAACGCGGATGGTGTCGATATCATCTAACCATTCTAGCGCCGCTGACCCCAAGTTGACCACCGGGGAGTCCGCCAGTTCATCCAGAGTGGCCGGAACCTCCCGAAGCTGCGACTCGATGGTAGGGCCCGAACGCTTTTTGGAAGGGAGAATCTTCTTTGTCTTCTTCTTCTTCTTATTTCCCTTCTTATCCTCGTCATCCGAGCACGTAATTGTGCCCGTCGTGGTATCCTCTGTATCCTGTGGCAGGGGGATGTCCCGAATCTGTTTGTCTATAACTGCCGACTTGCCCGTAAGGTCACCTTCCTGAAAGACCTTGGTTTTCTTAGGTCTTAAGGTTCTTCGGGGGATAACATCACTTTCCCCTTTTGGATCTCCATCCTGACAAGGGACCTTCCTCTTGCCCAACACTGATGTAGCTGTCGATGTTGCAGTGGATGCTACCGATCTAGCGTCATCTTGCATCTCATAGTCCATCTCCGCCTGTGACTGAGAGAGTGGATCTTGAGATGTCTCATCCCAGGGTTCGGTGTCGGCCCTGTAAAATGCGTCCCTTTGGCCTGGATTATATTCGCTAATGGAGAGGGATTTCGGTGCTGTTACAACAATC